CCCTAGAAAAAGGGCAGTGAAATACACCTTAAAACACTTATTCGGCCAAAATCTAGGACCATCATGATTCAAAACCACCCCCGTCAAAGTCAGCAGAGAGATAACAGCTTTGACCAGCGAGGCTGGAGGGCCCTTGAATCAAGGATACCCCTTTTTCAAAATCGTGATAACTATGTTGACAAATTAGACGGAGTAAAATATACACTAGATTGATTTCAACACCAAAAATGCCTGTTTATTATTGCGAAAAAGTATTATTACAGCACGCAGTCTTACCAAGGTGCCTAACAACCCTTATAACACCGGTGCGATCTGAACACAACCTACTTGTCTGATTTGGAAGACGGTTTGGTATGACTGGACTTTCTATCAGGGCAGTTAGCCTTCTATGACCCCGCTTATTACAAAAATAGAATCGCATGTTGAAAGGACGTGAAGAACGTGCCACACCGGCACCTCTATCCTCCCTCTCCCGAGATTTCTTAAGATTTGATTTATCTACTTCACACAGAATGTTCAGGACCTTTTTGTGGTCCTTATCTCCTAGTCAGCGCATAACAAGATCCTTGAAGTGGTGTTTCCACGAATCCACCTTCTCCCTAACTGTCTGATAAAGGAGCCGATAGTAATTCTTATCATGGTTGCCGTCAGCGGCTTTGTTATGCAGTCTCCAGCCTCTCCAGAATTTCATACTTGTTACATTCTGACAACGGGCGGGTCGCATAGGTCAAAATCCGTTCTACGAGATTTTCAGGCGTCGCATTGGTAACCAACTCCACTGATTGCTTTAATTGTCTAACCTCCTCACGCTATCTCCGTAAAGAGACAAAGAGACTCTAAATCATCTCACAACTTGATGTGTAAAGCACTTAGTATTGTGCAGAGAAAACCTCATTGCTGGCCTCATGTATAACAGAGGAACCCGCTTCCCTCTCGCTTTCCCTCGTATAAACATCCTACGGCAAGTACACCCGAAAAGAGAAAATACAAATAAGAGGGTCCAGCGGCTTTCAACTAGTTCAACTAGACGCCAACAGCTAGTTCACCAACCAGCCCCATTAAATAAATCGGGTACCCCGCTTTTATCATTTGTAAACATCCAACAGCCACACCAGCCGAAGGAAATAACACAAACAAGCGAGTCTGCGACGTTCCCCTAGTTTATAACTAGACGCGAACCGCTAGTTCACTAACTAGCCACCGTCGAAATAAGTCGGCCACCTGGCTTCTACCATTTGTAAACATCCAAGGAACACATTAGTCGACGAAATAATACAAATAAGCAAGTCCTCGGCGTTCCCCTAGCTAAAATAGACGCCGACCGCTAGTTCACCAACTAGCCACCGCCGAAGTAAATCGGCTATCTCACTTGCACCATTTGTAAACATCCAACGACCACATAAGCCGAAGGAAATCATACAAATAAGCGAGTCCGCGGCGTTTCCCTAGTTAAACCAGACACCGACCGCTAGTTCACTAACTAACCACGTCGAATAAATCGACGACCCTTGCAACAAGTTTCGATAACAAATTGTTTCCCGTCCCAAATCCTTCCAGCAGTCTCTCAACTTCGTTGTATGAGAAAAACCTAAAAGAGTCGACAGACAAAGAAGTATACCTCGAAGCGTCAAATAACGACTGAAAGACCACTACCTTCAGTTCCCGAGGTTGAGCCACGTTCTCATTATCATTTTGGCCCACTGGCGGATTCACGACTGGTACCACAGGATCACCGAGTGGCTGAACTTCAGGTTCTGCAGGTTGATCAACACCCATAACGAACTTGTACAAGAAAAGAAAAATCGCGTGTGTAGTATCTCAATACGAAAAGAGTTCACCTATTCGTGGCTCCGCTGAAAACCGAGCTAGAATAAATTATTTTCGCGCCAAACCAGAATTTATCATCAGCAATTACATAATTGCACGTGAGACTGCTCAAATAGCCATGAAATACCCATTATTATGTGTATTTCAACTTCACATATCATTATGAGTAGCGTTCAATGTCATTACAGTCGTTATCGGTGCAAGCTAAATTTTGGGATCTAAGTCGGTTTGTTCTGAAGGAGCATTAGGTACAACGAACAACCTACCTTGAATTAAACTATAGTAGCTGTAATTGTTTAGAAACACTTTTATTTTGCAATGACCCGTGACCCACAATGCTGATGTCGAATATATATGTGGGACAAATATTGTACAACAAACAGCTAGCTTAAGCGGAACTTGAGCAGAACTTCCTTTCTTTTCAACTTCTCAATTTCACAAGAGATGAATGGCGCAAGAAATCAATAGGTTTTGGTTTATCTTTAGGCAAACTGGATTCTTCCCGTTTTACTTTCCCGCCAGAAAACTCATAAACATGCTTTGATCAGGAGTCATAATCGGGGACGGAGACCGTAAGCGCGCGCCATTTCTAGTATTGGGGCTGTCCCCATGATATGGGACAATAATTCTATTTTTAGAACANTGTCAGGCAAACTGTTTTTGTTTTTTTTTTCAATTTCACATTGCCGCCAGGAAACGCATAAACATGCTTTGATTTAAAATAAACTTGGGTTTTGAACTTGGGACAAACTGTGAGTTAGTTAAAGTAAGACGATTAAAAAACGTGTATGCTTTATATCAACTTACTCTGTCCACAGTGTTGACACCTGCACCGTGTTGTAACAACAGTTTGACAACAGACTCGTGTCCATACCAGGCTGCTAAGTGCAGAGGCGTCAATGAAAACTGCAGAAATACAAACAAAAAAATCAATGTCACGAAGGCAACTTGATTTTTGCAAACCTGGTCGTTCCTAGTCCTCGTTTGAAAAGAGAGTTGCACCACTTAAGGTTACGGTATACCTTTAGGTATCTCACGTTCAAGCGATATAGCACGTCCGGTTTAAACTGGAGATACAGTTTGAACCCGACGCGCTATAGCGCTTGGACGCGAGACTCTTCTGAAGGTGCTCTAAAGCCGGTATACGATGACCATAAATGTACAGGTGGTGAGTACTGGACAACCCTAAAGAATATTGATCATAAAGGGTTAATTTATCTTAATTAATCAACTTCAAAATTAAGGATCAGTTGTGTTTCACTTGGCCACTAACGCACAACAGCAATTTTCTTCATAAACTAAAGGCAAAGTTCGGTTAGACACGAAGATTTTCAAAATGGCAGTGACACAAAACTAGCCGATTGTGTTAGGTCATCAGGCAGTGGTATCGGCTTTTAATTAAATTCACCTTCCTTTCAAATCTGATAATATATCTAAAGTACTTTAGATTTGGGATATTTCAGAATTGTTTTGAACGCTGTTTGCGTATCCAGAATTAATAAAACAAATGGACTGCGAACTTCATAGCATTATCGGCCTTTTTTACTGTCTTGACGCTATGATTTCTTTCCTCCTCGCGTTTTGGCTTCTATCTTGACGATTTCAGTGCCGCTATTTTGTTTTCGAAAAACAAATCATATATTGCAAAGGAAATTATCTCCACTTCTAATGTCAAGACCCTCTGGATTTTTCGGCTATCTTTAACTGGTACACGTATAAACCGCATCAAACGAATCCCGCAGGATTTCATAAATGAAAACAAAATAAAGTACGTTTACCATGTCTGCTTGGTCAACATCTTCCCCGTTTTCAAGCAGCATTCTAACAGTCTCGCATTGTCCTCTGATTGAGGCTTTGTGCAAAGGACTTCTTGATGCCTTTACAGTAGTTTAAAAGAGAAACATGTTATAAAAATGCAAGATTTGAATCATAAATACCTCTTATTAAGGGCCCATTTATTTTTTTAACCCGTTGCTAAGGAAAATTTATTCTCATACAAGTAACCTCGTCATTTTTACTTAGTTCAGACCTACATCATGTGTTTCAACTTTTTCATGATCAATAACACCAGTGATGACGTCATCAGTCCACGTCCTTGGTCATGTGACTACTTCTGAAAAAAATGCAAAGGCTCCTGGGCAAATTACTTTATCAGGATTTTTTCATTGATCTAATATTTTAATTTTAATCCTCGTTACGCTATGCATAGATTTTGTTTCATTTCTTAACGTCAGATTTTGAGATTTTCTGTGTGAAACACACACAGAAAAATAATCTAAAACGTAACTGAATTGGCAAGTTATGAGTTTTTTTTTTATTTTCCAGGCTCAGGCTTTCGAGCGCGAAACGCTTGGGCGATAACTCAAACGAGGATCCGTATAACTTACAGCACGGGCCGAGAGGTATTCTCGCAATTTCAAAATCTTTTGGTTTAATTTTTGGCAGTTTTATGAAAACAAATTTGCCGCCTTTGCCGGGTCGGTTCGTCTCAAGAAAAACTTTACCCCTGGCCTTGAAAAGGCTTAAGACTTCGGACAAAGTTTTTGTTCTTCGCTGATTACAATTCGATAATTAAAAACAGCGTAACCAGACTTGCTTTTCAGTAATAAGCACTTTTAACTTTTAAAGGGTTATGCTGTTGCTATGGTAACCTTTTTGCGTCACGAAACTCGCCATAATTTGCTTAGCAATGATTAGGCAATTGTTTTATACCATCAACTGATAAAGGGTAGTAACATTGATCCATGAAAGAAGAAGCGCTGAAATGCTGGAAAGCGTTGTGAGCCACTTTAAATCTTGAGCATAGGTAGACATTTGTTAATATCCTCGCAATCTGACGCTATGTTTACATTTAACGTGTTCATTTTGATTTACACCTTACTTACTTTTGCATTTTGAGCTCTAATCATCCAGTTCATATCGTGGGTTCTAAAACCATAAAAAGAAGAGACGTAGGTACATTTTGGTCACTGCCTGCTCTAATTATTGAAAACCTGCAAAGAACTATCAAGTTTTGTTGCTAAAACCTGACGAAAACAATAACTTCTGAAAATCAGAACAATGGGGATATGACCTTTTCTTTTACGAATGATTAATTTTATATGATAACTGCATGTAGCTAAAGCTGATTGAATCATTTTTGCTTGAATTCTGTACATGCTTAATACATGTGGTCAAGGCTTGCACTTAAAGCTAGGAAGGTCTTCCTTGGTTTTAAATGTTATCCATGTTTGAGATGAATTTCTGACCTTTTGGCCTAGACTTGGAAGGTGACCTTTGTAGTAATAACCACCACTGTTTGCAGTTACACACTTCAAATCCACCTACGATGCAACAAAAATAATGTTATTTAAAATAAGAGGTATGATACAATTCATCATTTAATACAAATTACGTGCTTTTCCGTTCGAGAGAACGCAGTTCTAATTGGGTAATGCGGAAAAATGTGAGTTTTTGTGCATGTATCTTTCTATGGACACCAATTTGCCCCCCCCCCCCCAAAAAAAAAATTCTTCGGGGGCGAATGACGTCATTTCCACGTTCATCCACGTGCTTTCTTTCGAGTGTTGTGCAATATTGCGGACTTTCGAGTGTCGAGGTAGCTTATTGTGGACTGTAGCGGATACGTTGTTTATTTAAAGATGGAAGTCAGTGTTAATGACATTTTCATTTTGAAAACCTTGCACACATGTCTTCACGAAATGTGTACGACTTTTCGTACGAACAGAAAACTGTAGTTTGGCTGCGTGTTGTGTACCCTCTTCTCTTCGACCAAAACCAACGCTGCTTTCTGCTGAATAAAATTAAAGGAAATGTGCAGCTTCACTTCGCTGGCCTAGATTTCTGTACGCAAATTATGTAAACCCAACGAAACTATTTACAAAGGAAAAGAGTTCAAACTCCCACAGGATTGCTTTGGTACACCAACATGTCCTCCGTTTCATTGTTTTGGAAGTGAAAATGCCCCGGAGCTGTTCCCCCAAAGCCAAGGCGATTCAAAGTCGCGTTCGTAAACAGAATAATTCTCCTAGTTTTGGTAATAAAAGCACGTCGTCTCGCATACCGACGGAACAGGCATCGTTTGTGTCGATTTACACAGTCAGTTCAAAACATGGACTGCGGACTACCAACTTGGTATAAAACACGTACTTAGGTATAAAACGCGGACTAAGCATTACGGACTGGGTATAAAACACAGAGTCATTTATAAAACGCGGACTGCAGACTAAATGCTGCCCACCAACTGTAGTCCGTGTTTTTTAATTGACCGGTCGTAACTAATATTTAGCGCTTATTAACCGAGCTTAGTCGGTCTGTATGGGAGAATCTTAACCGAGGTCGCGACTACAGACCGAACACAGGGAGGTCTGTACGCACGACCGAGGTCAAGATTCTGTCATACAGACCGACTGAGCTCGGTTAATAAGTGGTCTATTATATGGCAAACAAGAAAAATTAAATTCGTTTAATGTAACTGGTTTGTACTAACTGACGTTTTGCTTGCGAACGGTGATGAGCTGAATTTAATTCTGCCAAAATTTGCTTGTCCTCTTTAATTTTTTGCTCACCAGGCTTTTTGGCACTTCCATAAATAAATATTGTCAGATGAAATAATCAATGATCTTGCATTTTAGTTTGCAACTTTTTCAATGCAAAACATTACCGATCTGGATGCCGGTCTAGATTGGAAAGTCTACACCGCTTTCAATATCGATTTAAGCCAATCAAATTCGTGAATTTGATAGTTCCCAGTCCTTGTGAAACAGAGCCATATAATAATATGTGATTTCATGTATAAACCAGAAAAGCCTCTCGTATGCACGTACTTTGCGATCAATTCATTTGTTTTCGCTCCTGCTGGAGGAAGGCCAATTTCACGCCTACCTAAGAGCTCACGCACGAAATGCTGCTCCTAGAACTTTTGCCTTTTTAACATACCAAACCTACTAAAACTCGAACGCACTCTTTAATCTACGATTACTACTAGTACTAAAAGCAATTACGTCATACATGATATCAACAGCTGGCCTATGCTTCAACCTTAGTCCTGCTAGAGGGGGTTCATACCAAAACAAAAGTACATTGTAAACACATAATCAATCACAAGAAATACAAGTAACTCAATAAGCCAGTCTTACTTTGAATATTGAACTCTTTATTTCACGACTGGAAGTTTGATGTGAAAAAATCAAATCAAATTAACAATCACAGTCTGTACTTACTTTGCCATGGTAACCAAGCCTGTAAGTACCTTTAGTACCATTTTCCCACGAGGCAGTCGCGGCACTTGCTGGGTTTTCCTTCCAATTCATGATTTTCTTCACGGTACCAAATGTCCCTATTCCGCCATCTTGGTTGTCATATTCCCAGTCTGGACCTCTTGTAACTTTAGCACCAGGATAAATGCCTCTTGCTTGAATTTTTAATTTCCTTGCTTCTTCTTCCAACAGAAATTCTGCATCAATGTAACAAAATATAGGGTATGAAACCTTTTGAAAATAAAACTGACTGCTTCAATTCTATAAAAATATACTTCAGACCTGATTGATTTTGATCAAGATCACAATGCTAGGGACACTTACTGTTACGAGGTGGAAGATGCTCAGCTATCGTCTTCACTCCCATTCCCATATGTGACATACACGTATTTTTAAAAATCATTCCTAAAATGTACTTATACAGTCGAACCTCCGGCTGCGACCACCTCTTGCAAGCGAAAGTTTTCCAAAATCCCAAAAGTTTCCAAGTCAAATCACTATATTTGGAACCTCTTGTTAGCGACCACCTCTCGTAAGCGACCGCGACCACTTTCAGAGCTAGAAGATCCAAATTTTCTTTTGTTTCTAACCTAACGTAAACGATCATTTAACAGATAACAGAGCGGAAATTGGATAATAAGGTGTTGTAACATTTCCGCATTTCTGGATGGTACAAGAGACGCAAATCTCTCAATGGGAAGTACAAAATTTTCTCAAAATTGACTTTTCATTTGAATAAAACATTTAAAACACGGGGCAGGTCGCAGCAGTTACCATATGCTAATGAGACAAAATTTCCTTCCAATATGGTCAAAGCTCTCGTAACCGACCACATAGGCTTGACATTTTGGGTGATCGCTCACGAGAGGATCGACTGTATTTGAATGATGATATTATCATTCACTTTCCTCTTG